AGAAGACCGGAAATCATGGGATTGTTCCCTTTGTAGTTCTAGTTTGTCCTTCTGATCTTCTGGTGAATCAATAGGCTTATGGAAATCTCTAGAGTTGTTTTTTAGAAGTGTCGTTCTAAACACTTCCCCATTCACTGTTTATTTTTACATTTATCTTGGGAGTGAAACCCTTTATCTCAATCTGCTCTTTTGTGTATGAACTATCACCCTTTTCTGATAACTCCGGATACGTACAGGTATTGTTCCTATGTGATAGCTTTGTATTCTGTTCAGCTGTGAAAAAGATCATTTCTTTAGTAATGTTAAAATCATTTATTTATTACTTGATACATGTTTGACACATTGAACTTTTAAATGGTTTAATTGGCTTAAGATGATCTTATTTTGTTTTTCTCCTTGTTTTAATTTCTGGTACTATATATGATCTTGATTTCATGATTTTTTTTTTTCTTTTTTGAGACGGAGTCTCAAGCTGTCACCCTCAGTAGAGTGCTGTGGAAGAGTGCTGTGGCATCACAGTTCACAGCAACCTCAAACTCTTAATTAGGCTTAAGCGATTCGCTTGCCTCAGCCTCCCAAGTAGCTGGGACTACAGGCGCCCGCCACAACACCAGGCTATTTTTTTTTTGCACTTGTCATTGTTGGTTAGCTGGCCCAGACCGGATTCGAACCTGCCACCTGCCAGCTTCGGTGTATATGGCTGGTGCTGTAACCATTGTGCTACAGGCGCCGAGCCTCATGATCCTTTTTTAATGGCATAATATTTGAACCCGTATCATTGGCTGATAGCTTCTTTTATAGATCTGTTTCTTCTGGGGGTTAGTTAACAACAGGAAGATTATAAGTTAGAATTGGGGACCAAAGAGAGTGTGAAAGAGTAGGTCTAATATGCTTTCATCCTGTCAAATTGCTAGTGACTTTTTAAAAAGTTTTTTTAATTTTTATTTTTTTTAATTCAGTCACAAACACATAGATCATGTCTACAATAATGCATTTATGGGGCACAATGTGCTGATTTTATATACAATTTGGAATGCTTATATTGAACTAGTTAATTTATCCTTCATTTACTTAATTATTGTGTTAAGACATTTATACTCTATACTTAATAGATTAGACATGTACCCTTGCAATATGCACCATAGATGCAGTCCTGCCATTTACTCTCCCTCCCTTCCCCTCCTCTTCCTTCCTTCATCCTGGGCTATCGTCGTGATTTATCTTTCATATGAAAGGGTAATTGTAAATTGGTTTCATAATAGTACTGAGTACATGGGATACTTTTTAATGTGCAACTGTTCGTTCCAGATGTTTTTCTAGTAATAGAGCAGAACCTCTCTAAGTTGACCACTCAAGGGATTGTAACAAACTGGTCAACATCGTCAACATACAAAGGTGATGAACAGAAAGAACTAGACCTAGTGCACTGAAAACGTACGCATGGTGCCTGTCTGGTCTGTGAAAATTAGGTCAATGTAGGGGGTGGTCAGCTATGGAGATTCTACTGTATTTTTTGTTTAGTGAGCACATAGATTGGATTTTAGTTTTGTGATCATCCAACATAATTTTTAAAACTCCAAACTTTAAAATCTCATAAAATGTTACACTGGCATAGTCACTAAGTACACTAAATTTTTGTATACACACATTTTTAAAGAATCGTGGGGGGGGGGATCATATTTGATCAAAGTGGTAAAACCCTGCCAATGTTTACCTAAATTTGCTTTCTCTGGTGGTTTGAATGTTAATATGTCCTCATTCTAGGTTAAGTTAGCAAACCAAATTAAAAGTGCAAAGACAGAAAAAAAAAATGGCTTCTGTTAATATTTACAACAGCCCAGAGGCTGTGCAATCTTGAAACCACTTTGTAGTTTAATCCTCCCAGGAAAGAAAGCTTTTTACCAAATTGTCAGTGCCTCCACAGTGCTTCTGAGGATTTGTAAAAGGCACCTGCTAAACATACTATCTATTTCAGTAAGTTAAGTCCATGTTCACAGGCAGCATAAAGAATGGGGAGTTAGGTAGGTCCTTAGCTTTCTGCCGCTCTAAATTTAAAATTAACAAGAGTTTTCTGTCTTTCGTTCCTCCCCTCTAACCCATTCTTCGATATATGGTTTAATGGATTCTTTTTGTTGCCCATATAAAATGTGAAAGGAAAAACACTCACCTAAGACAATTTGAAAATGATTTTTATAAACATGCTTACACCAAAGTCTAATACTCTCTCTCTTAACTGACATTAAAGGCTTAAACTCCCCTTTGAAAGGCCAGCTTGTGCCTCCATACTCATGAGCCTGCTACAAATTCAGCATGTGACTTTCTTGTAAATATTAGTGTTTTCTCTTTACCTGGAGATGATACAGGGTGGAGTTACTTCCAGCAGATAATCCTGTCCCATTTCAAACTGATAGAAGTTCTGTAATATGTATAGTTAATGTCCTGGTGATTGGGTGACAACACAAAATCACTTGTCCTCATGGGATTTCAGGACTTTAAGTGTCTTTAATCTTAAACACTGTTAACTTTTTCTCTTCTGACACTCCTAGTGAACTCTGAGGAGGTCTGAAGACTTATACTTGAAAAACTTAGAAAGTGCCTCCTCACCTCGCTTCTGAATTTGGTGAGCAGCTTGCCAGGACGCACCAGTAGTAGGAGGAAGTTAAATGGTGATGAAAACTAGACAACGGGGTGGTGCTGGTAGCTCAGTGGGTAAGGTGCCTGCCGGCCTCATCTACCGAGGCTGGTGGGTTTGAACCTGGCCCGGGCCTGCTAAAACAACAGTGACAACTGCAACAACAATAACACAGAAATAGCCGGGCGTTGTTGTGGACACTTGTAGTCCCAGCTACTTGTGAGGGTGAGGCAAGATAATCGCTTAAGCCCAAGAGCTTGAGGTTGCTGTGAGCTGTGATGCCACCGCACTCTGCCCAGGGTGACGCAGTGAGACTCTATCTCAAAAGAAAAGTTTTATCTTCTGTCTGTAAAATGAATTCTGAAAGGTTTTTGGAGATTTTATCTTGGATTTATTGTAACTCACTCTGGGAGCTGAGCAATAAGACTGTACAAATAATTCTGTACAGTGGGGTGTTGCTCTTTCTGAGTTCTTTGAGCCTGAATGTGTGTGCCTAATTGGAGAGATCACTGAAGAGAGAATGTTTTGCTGTGGTAGATGTGGTTTAAATCCTAGCACTGAGCATAGCATTTACTTTCTCAGCTTACCCACAAAATCTGTGACTAATTTAGTGAATGTGAAGATTTTTGTCCAGATGGTTAGGTTTAATTGTAAAAACTGGAAAGATTTCAAAGTACCCTTTGGGGGAATGCGGGAAACAACAAGTAAACAACCGAAATGAATTAAAAGTAACCGTAGATCACTAAATATAGCATATATGCATATTTTATATTTATAAACACACATAGGCATATATACTTAAACATACGCACATAGATACAGAGGGTGCCAAAAAAATGTATGCACATTTTAAGAAAAGAAAAAAAAATGGAATAAAAATTGCAGGACTCAGTGTGTACTAATAACGGCTGTTATTTTGTGTATGATTATATCTTTTATGATTACAGAAGTCAAAGATGACCTGTTTTAATAGTTTTTTCCTTTCTTAAAATGTGTACACATTTTTTTTTTTTAGCACCTTCTGTATGCACAGTATTTGCCATCAAGGAAAAGCTTAAAAGCTTAAAGAATTCTTTATGCCAGCAGGAACAAATAGAATCGAGAAGATGCGTTATTTTGAATGTTTAAGGATTCACCAGTTGCGTTCTTGAGTGTTTCCTGAGTATGTGTGTTTAGCTTTTGCTCAGCCCAGCATAGGTTTCCCCTTGAGTGTGTTAAGATACCACTTTCCTGTAGCTGGCTATTCTGGGTTAAGGGGTTTAGGTAGTTAATCTCACCGAACAGGAGGGCAAATTCTGCTCTCGTCCAGGACGTCCCTCTGTGGGGTGCCCACTGAGGTCTGGGCCCACCTGCTCTTCCCACACTGCCTCTGTGACGCTCAAGAAAGAGGAACTTTGAAGAAAGGGCCAATTCCATGGTAATTATTGCTAGGTGGGGACCAGCCTTCTTTTTAGCATCCATTTGTTTTTCGCACTTCTTGTAGTTTTTGGCCTTGCCAGAATGAGTATAATTATCGGAACCGATGCTTTTAAAGCTACTCAGGACCTCTTCCTCCTCCTTGTTGCTTCTGGGCAGAAGCGACAGAACTTAAGGACAGAAATAAAGTCCCCTTCCCTTTTGTAGGTGACATATTGCTGACCTCAATGTTGGGCCCATAAATTGGCTTTGAAGTTGGTAGGCTGATATAGTTGTATAGTGGACCTTTTTTGTGTTATTTGGCATTATAAGGAACAGGAAGACAAGAAAGGTGTGGTGAGGTTTAGGAGGTCATGGGACAGATGCTGGAGTTGTTATATGACTGTTGATAAGGTCTGTTTGAACGGAGGGGGGCTATGGCACAGTGGTCTAACAAGGCAAGCAACATGGATACGTTTCTTGCACAGGAGTAGAGAGATTTCTAAGTCAATGCATTTCATAATGTTCGGAAAGTGTAGAGAGACAAGCCAAATTTATATGTGTTATATTTACCACATAGCAGTTGCTCTCGTATTTGACTTAGCACATTTATAATGGCCCAAGACATGAGGTTGAGGTTGTCTTGCATGGTAAGGAAGATAAGCAGAAGCCAGGCTGGGATGATGATTTTCAGTTTATGGAGAACCTGTATAATACAGGCCAGGAGAATGTTCTTTCTGAGGGCAGAGCTATTATTGCTAGTAGCATGGGAGAGCAGGATACTCAAAGGTCAGCCACTCTAAAGCAGAGGTGGTCTTTGGTATGATCCTGTTGGCTAAGTTCCATTTATTTATTTAGTCATAAAAGGTGATTTATTAGGGAACTTAGGGACAAAAGTGTCTTGGGTAACAGCAAGCTAGGTAGACCTCCTTACTGCTTGGCTAAGTTCCTATTTAAGGTATCTTTTTTTATACAATATGTTTCCAAAGGCTGTGGCTGGTTGTGGCCATGGGATCTCCAACTGCATGGGAGAGCCATCTGGAGAGACTGACAGCTCAGGTCAGCACAATGCCTGCAGCCGCCACTCGCCGTTCCTATGATGTTTTAGGATCTGGACTCAGCCTTCCACCGAAATCTAGTTTTCCATCAATTTCTGTGTAAATGGGTGGGTTGGATCAATTTCTTGGTTTTCCTTCACACTAAGATTTTGTTGCAAAAAAGTTAAAAAAGAACAAAGAGAAATGAATAAAGGCTAAAAAAAAAATGCCTTTTTTTACCTTTCGATATTTTCCTATCCACTTAGAGCCAAATTTTTCTCCTTTTTTCAAAAGATTTGCCCTCTGCTAGTAATCCATTGAATGACTCTTTTGAGACTTTCAGCTGGTACCACCACCCCATCCTGAGCAGACTTTTAAAGGCCCAAGGTGTAGAGTTCAAAGCTAGAGACTGTCTGGTAAGATGAGAGTCATGGGAGCTTTCCTGGTGTCCGAAGTCAACCCAGCCTCGCAGCCCTCTCTTTGGCCTGTTTGTGAAGCTGGGTTTGGAGAGAACTTTTGTAGATGTTTCTTAAGAATCCTTGGAGCTAGCACAACAAGGTGTAAGTGATGAAGTTAAAGCAAGATCTGACTTTTTTTTTCTGATTTTTTTTTTTAAAGGGACTTTTAGGTGAGATTAAAATAGACCTCATGAGAAAATGAGATCCTGAAGATTGATACTGTCATTAAGTTGTGGTGTGAGTCAGACTTGAGAGCACTATAAATATTATATATTTCTACTGTCCGTATTTGTTAACATTTTTTATATATTTGTACATTTATGTAAGTTTCTAGAAATTTCTGCAAATTTCTGATATACTTGATGCAATTGATTTGAGGAATAAAAATAATAGAAATAGTGTGTACAACCAACGAAGGAAGATGACTTAAGGGCAGCTGTACAAGGTCAAGGCCACTGGCGTTCCAAGGACTCAAGTCCAAATGGTAATGGGTACGATAAACTCTGCATAATTTGTGCGAGTGTTGGTACTTTTTATTTCCTCTGAAGCATTGACCTGGGGAGAGGAGAGGGTTTTAGAGCCGGTAGAGAACAGGGTTGTGCTATTTTCTGTTGGAAAGCTTGTCACATCGTAGGACAGAGTGGGAAGAGTTTGATAAGAAAAACAGAGCAGATTTACCTACTTGTTAGGAACCTCTTCTGTTGATGTTGCTGTAAGACCCGAGGAAAGGGTTGAAGCCCAGGGTCTGATGTTCCTGTGGTTTTGAAGCCCTGTCACAGGTTGGAAAGCTGTGTCAAGTATAAGCTTGAGA